TGATGTCACAAAGGGGCAGGATGAACCCCGCCCCCTTGTGACATCATCCTATGCTGTGATTGACCAAAGCATTGCATCTGACCTGTGGTCAGGTGCATTGCTTTGACCAATCACAATGCACTGTCAGGGCGCAGTGCATTATGGGGCGCGTCAGGTGAACAGCCCGTCCAATGCCCATACCAGTCATGGTTTGGGGCCCCATTGTTAAAGGGGGCTTTCAGATTCCAATAAGCCCCCTCCCACAGACCCCCACAACCACAGCCCAGAGTTATGGGAAAGAGGCCCTTGTCCCCATCAGCATGAGGACAAGGTGCTTTGAAGGGGGAGCCCCCCACTCCAAAGCACCCCCCATGTTGAGGACATGTGCCCTGGTATGGTTCAGGAGGGGGGGGTGGCGCTTGCTCATCCTACCCTTTCCTGACCTTCCGGGCTGCATGCTCGGATAGGGGCCTGGTATGGATTTTGGGGGGGGACCCTCATGCCATTTTTTTTTTAAAATGTTGGCATGAAGGTTCCCCTCAAAATCCATACCAGACCCGAAGAGCATGATATGGATGGGAGGGGGGACCCCATGCTGAAGACATGAATGGCCCATGTTCGAGTTGAACTTAGGTTCTAATCATAACTAATCCTAACACTATCTTTAATGCTAATCCTAACACTGGCCCTAGTTCTGTAACTCTAACTATGAACCTAACACCATCTCCAGTGCTAATCATAATTCTAAACCTAACTGTGAAACTCTAAACCTAACCCTAAAAACCGACCCTAACTCTACCCAAACCACTAACAGTATCTCCAATATTAACCCTAACACTAACATTCTACCTCTAACCATAACTCTAATTCTAACACTATCTCCAATGCTAACCCTAACACTAAATCTATAACCCTAATCATAACACTATATCTAACACTATCTCCAATGTTAACCCTAACACTAACATTCTACCTCTAACCATAACTCGAATTCTAACACTATCTCCAATGCTAACCCTAACACTAAATCTATAACCCTAATCATAACACTATATCTAACACTATCGCTAATGCTAACACTAAACCTTCAACCATAACAATAACCCCTTACACTATATAACTCTTACACAACACCAACCTTAAAACTATCTTTAATGCTAACCTTAACACTTACCTTAAGTCTCTAATTCTATTGATACCACTAACTCTAACACTATTTCTTATGCTAACACTAACATTGACCCTCTATCCCTAGCCCTAAGCCTAACACAGTCTCTAGCCCTTTAACTCTAACTCTAATGCTATCTCTAATACTAACACTAACCCTAACTATAAAACTCTAAACCTAACACCAGGGGCGGACTACCCCCCCCCCCCCCCCCCCCCCCCCCCCCCCCCCCCCCCCCCCCCCCCCCACCCCCCCCAACCACCCCCACCATCCCCCCCCCCACCCCCCCCCCCCCACATCGAGTCTCAACCCGCTACCATCCCTCCCCACCCATGTCCCGCCCCAAACCACTTACCTTCTAAAACCAACCCCCCCCCCAATCTACCCACACCACCCAAACCCCCACAACAACCAAAACCCCTTTCCCCCACCACACCCAAACACCCCCCCCCCACCCAAAAAACCCTCCCCCAACCAAATAAAAAAAACTAATAAAATATCTACCCCCACCCCCCTTAACAAAAAAACAAAAAAATAAAAAAATAATAAAAACAATTCAACCACTTAAAAACACTCTAATACACTATAAAAACTAAAGAAAAAAACCCCTAACACTAAAATAACTCGAACATTAAACATAAACACCTATCACCAAGCTTAACTCTAAAATACTCAACCCCTTTGTCGATAATCTAATATAAAGATAGACAAGACTTTTCCAAAAAAAAAATACTAGTTAAAATGAAAAAATAATGTTTTGGAACTTTAAAAAAAACAAAGCCTTACACTTAATTCCAATGGTAACCTAACAATGACCCTTGAATGTAACCTCTAACCTTCGTAACCTTAAACCTTTGTTGATAAGCAAAGCTGTATAAAGCTAAGTTAAAAAAAAAAAAATTTTAAAATATAACTCCACAGAATTCATTCAACCACCTTCTACAAGGTCTGCACCGGAAGCCGTGTTACACGTACATCATAGCGGGAGGAGACCGGTGTGAAAAACTGTTATTTTCAGTAAAGACAGCAAATGGAAGTTAAAGAGAATAGTTTTTTCACTTTATCACTCCTCGCATCTGGGCAGTAGAGGATGACACCCAAAACAGGGTAGCATTTTACCATCTCACGGTGGGTCCTTAGCTTATTATGGAGTAAAAAAATGGTTTGGTGTCATTCACCTTTGTTTTGAATTCTTGCAGAGAGGGTTTTGGGCCACTGAATACAAAAAACAGAAAAAATGTCAGGCTTTCCAGTTGCAGAAAAATCGATAGAGATCCTATAAAAGTGGACTTCCAACAATACTTGGCTCTTTAATCCTTTGTTAGCAGTAAAATGAGTGGAAGTGACTTCATGAGAGAACGATGTCATGGTCTGTAGCAATCTTTTAATAGTGGTTGGCCCTTTGACCCTGTGTGAGCAGATACAGGTACCCTAAATGTTGAGTAATGAGGTCTGCATGCAATGTCCATCCAACAGCCACTTCTTTTAAGCTCTTCTGGACTCTCTTCAGCATAGCAGACTCCTCTAAAGATGATCCAAAAAGGTAGTCACTTTCTTATTCTAGAATCTCTAAAGATGCTCCAGCCAGGAAGCCACCTATCCTAGTTTCTCTAAAGATGCTTCCAATGTGAAGCTACTGTACCTTCTTGTTCTAGTTTCTCAAAGATGCTCCCAAGTATCCGCCTTCTTGTTCCAGATTCTCTAAAGATGCTTCCAAGTATCTACCTTCTTGTTCTAGTTTTTCTGAAGATGATCCATCTGGGTACCCACCTTTCTCTCCTAGAATCTCTGAAGATGCTGCAGCCAGGAAGCCACCTGTCATGGACTGCAGGGCCTCTCCCATCCCTTGCCATATCCCTCCACCCCTCCCCTCCCCCTTGTATATTCCAAGGTCTGTGGGGCTTCCATGGACAGGGCTGGGCCGGCCGTTGCCGAGGCAACCTAGCCGCGTCCCACATGATCTTCAAGAGACCCACACAGGAAGCAGACCTTCTTTTTTTGTTCCTGTCCATGCTGCTGGAATCATCTTGCTCCCAGAAAGATGCTGGGAGGCTCGGGTGAGGGGGACCGAGCCTCCCCAGCCATCCCCCCTGTGCACTCTGCAGACCCCCAAAAGGTCAGGACTGTAGCCCTCTGCAATACCCCAGGGTTGGGAGTCTCCACAGCTCTGCATGAGCCTTCCCCTCAAAGGTCAGACCCCACAGCTGAGACCCTGCCAGCCTGTAAGCCTGTAAGCCTGTCTACTGGGCACCCTTGCACCCTGTCTGCTGCTGAGTGCCCTGGGAGCTGCTGCTGAGGGACCCTGCACACTGTCCGTGGCTGCGAGTCCCTGGAAGCTGTCTGCTGCTGAGTGCCCTGGGAGGTGCTGCTGAGGGACCCTGCACACTGTCCGTGGCCGTGTGTCCCTGGAAGCTGTCTGCTGCTGAGTGCCCTGGGAGCTGCTGCTGTCTGCTGATCGCTGGTTGTCCCTGGAACGCTGTGCTCTGTCCTGCCTGCGCTTCCGTTACACCACCTATCCTAGTTTCTCTGAAGATGCTCCCAATGGTAAGCTTTCTTCTTGTTCTAGTTTCTCGAAGATGCTCCCAAGTATCCACCTTCTTGTTCTAGATTCTCTGAAGATGCTCCCAAGTATCCACCTTCTTGTTTTAGACTCTCTGAAGATGCTCCCAAGTATTTACCTTTTTGTTCTAGTTTTTCTGAAGAAGCTCACTCTGAATAGCCACCTTCCTCTCCTAGAATCTCTGAAGATGCTCCAGCCAGGAAGCCACCTATCCTAGTTTCTCTGAAGATGCTCTCACTGGGAAACTACCTTCTTGCTCTAGTTTCTCGAAGATGCTCACAAGTATCCACCTTCTTGTTATAGATTCTCCAAAGATGCACCCAAGTATCTACCTTCTTGTTCTAGTTTTTCTGAAGGTGCTCCCTCCAGGCAGTCATCTTCTTGTTCTAGTTTCTAAAAGATGCTCCCAAGTATCTACCTTCTTGTTCCAGATTCTCTGAAGATGCTCCCTCCAGGTAGCCATCTTCTTGTTTCTTATAGAAATTCTACCTAATGGTAGCTATCCCCCATCAAAATAACTTGGGTTCTTGAAGCCTTAGCTTAGGCTGATGTAGATATCTTTGATTTTGGCACAGGCTCAGGATGCAAAAAGAAAAAAACTCATTGCAGTGGCATCCTCGCCAAGCAGAAACCCAGGAAGGAGCTTTCCAGAAGGTTGCTCAGAATATTTATCCTTTCCCCTTAACCACACCATGAAAATAAAACCCTCAGTGATTGACTAAAACAGATAGATATTAATAACTTGCATTAGCTACTGGAGACAACTCAACAATGGCAGACAAAAATAATTAATGTCAGAGCTCAGTGACCTATGTTGTCTGTCGGTCCTTCCTCCTCCATCAGAGAAGCCATACAGGCCTCATAAATTGTTGGCCAGTTGGACTTTTACATGAAAACATCTGTGTATCTGTGGCCAATGCTATGGCAGAACCCCAGTCCTTTCCCATAATCACATGATCCAATGTGTGTCAAAGAGCTCATTGATCTCTCCTGTCTGTCCTGTTGGTCCTTTCTCCTCCACCAAGGCTATTACTTCATATGTTGGTGTTTGCCATTCCAGGTGTGTGCTGGGAAGAAGAAGGTCATCTACCTGGGCATCTCCTGCAGCTTATCAGTAAGTACTGACTACCCCAATCACCAATCACAAATATCATTCTTTAGTTACATTCACTGGGTGAGCACACTTTGAACAATGCTATGGAAGATGTTGGTGCTATATCAATATTAGCAACAAGTCCATTGACTTTGTCTTTTGTATAGGCTCCATTCATTGCTGGTCAGTTGGACTTCTGTATGAAGAACCTGGATGTCTTCCTGCCAGTTCTGGTAGGGTTTAATCCTGTGGGTACAGCCAGGTAGGTTGTGGAAGGAGGCAGATCTTGGTCTCCCTGGCAGAGAAGGAAGGCTGACCTCTCATGTTACCTTCCAGGAATGAGAGAATCGAAGGATGGACCTCCACCTTCCGGCAAGTGGCTGAGCGGATGCAGAGCCTCCATGACACACAGAGGGGCTTTGTACTCAACCCAGCCATTGGGGTAAGTCTGAAATGTTCATTCTTGGAAAGTCCCTGAAGAGACTAAAGATTGTTTTTCAGGGCCCAGTTAGGCCTTGGCATTTTGGCATGTTGTTTTAATTCTGTAGAGTGACCACTCACTGTGAATATCAAGCAAAAACCACTTTTCATTCTCATTACAGCCCGAGGGCATTTGTGGCTCCTCGCGTATGAAAGGTGGCAGTGCTACAAAGATCCTGCTGGAGACGCTGTTCCTGGTGGCCCACAAAGCCAGTTCCAACGTGGAGGTGACTGAGAAGTATGTGACCACAGGCTGAATCTACCCAACATCTTGTACCAGCCAATCATGCTGGAAGCTCAGGTGATAGATGAGTATAAAAGTACCACAGAGGAAGAGATGTTTAACCAGTGGGAGGGGTTCCCACCATCATTGCTGGTTGTATTAGTTTTTAGGGCTCGTTTACATTTGCTTCAAAATTTGGCATTGCACTTGCTTTTTTAAAAAGCAAGGTGGAGGATCAGCAGAGCTGGCAGACTGAAGCAGGAAAAACTAGCATTTTCAATTGTGGTGTGCAGCGTGGGAGCAATATAGTGGGAGGTGATCTGGAACCAGAGAGGAGGATCAGCAAACCAGAGGATCAACAGACCTGGGGGTTACTACTGTGAGGGGTCAGCAGAGCAGGGGGTTACTACTGAGTGGGCGATCAGCAGAGCTGGGGTTACTACTGTGTGGGGGTCAGCAGAGCCGGGGGTTACAACTGAATGGGGATAAGCAAAACTGGGGCTTACTACTGAGTGGGGAATCAGCAGAGTTAGGAATTACTACTGAGCGGTGGATCAGCAGAGCTGGGGGATTCTACTTAGCAGGGGATTAGCAAAGCTGGGGGTTACTACTGAGCAGGAGTTTAGCTGATCTAAGGAGCTGCTACTGAGTAGGGGATCAGAAGAACTAGGGGTTACTACTGAATGAGGGATCAGCAAAGCTGAGGGTACTACTGAGTGGGGGTCAGCAGAGCTGGGGGTTACTACTGAGCAGGGGATTGGCAAAGCTGGGGGTACTACAGAGTAGGGCATCAGCAGGGCTGGGGGTTACTACTGAGCAGGAGATCAGCAAAGCTGGTGGTTACTACCAAACAGAGGATCAGGAAAGCTGTGGGTTCAGGGGTGGACTGACCATTTAGAAACTCGGGCACTGCCCGAGGGCCCACGGTCAGTAGAGGAACCCATGAGATGCCCCTGGTACCTTTTTCATAGGCTTTTTTTGAGTTTGGGCAAGGACACAGGGGCCCCATGATCCCCTATTGCCCGGGGGCCCCATGAATTGTCAGTCCACCCCTATGTGGGTTACTACTGAGTGGGGGATCAGCAGAGCTGGGGGTTACTACCAGTAGGGCATCAGCAAGGCTGGGGGTTACTACTGAGCAGGGGATCAGCAAAGCTAAGGGTTACAAATGAACGAGGAATCAGCAGAGCAGGGGGTTACTACTGAGTGGAAGATCAACTGATCTGGGGGGTTACTACTGAGCAGGGGATCAGAAAAGCTAGGGGTTACTATTGAGCGGGGGATCAGCAAAGCTGAGGGTACTACTGAGTGGGGGTTCAGTAGAGCTGGGGGTTACTACTGTGTGGGGATATGCAAAGCTGGGGGTTACTACTGATCAGGAGATCAGCTGATCTGGGGGGTTACTACCGAGCAGGGGATCAGAAGATCTAGGGGTTACTACTGAGCGGGGGTCAGCAAAGCAGAGGGCACTACTAAGTGGGAGTTCAGCAGAGCTCGGGGTTACTACTGAGCAGGGGATCAGTAAAGCTGTAAAGCTGGGGTTACTACTGAGTGGGGGATAAGCAAAGCTGGGAGTTACTACTGAGTGGGGGATAAGCAAAGCTGGGAGTTACTACTGAGTGGGGGATAAGCAAAGCTGGGGAGTTACTACTGAGCAGGAGATAAGCTGATCTGGGGTTACTACTTAGCATGGGATTAGCTGAGTGGGGTTACTCAGAAGAGCTAGCTGGGGTTACTACTGAGTGGGGGATTAGCATGGGGTTACTACTGAGTCGGGGATCAGCAGAGCTGGGGGTTACTACTGAGTGGGGGATCAGCAGAGCTGGGGGTTACTACTGAGTGGGGGATCAGCAGAGCTGGGGGTTACTACTGAGTCGGGGATCAGCAGAGCTGGGGGTTACTACTGAGTGGGGGATCAGCAGAGCTGGGGGTTACTACTTGTGAGCCCTTAGAGTATAGAGGAGGAAAGGGATTGCTCTAAGGTTGTCAGGGACACATAGAATGGTCATCCCTCAGAAACCACTGTTGGACAGGAAGGATGGCATTAAGCATGGCTAAGCTTAGTCAGAACACAAAGTGAAACTAAATCAGAGAGGTGCAGACAAAAGGCTTTTATTCAACTACTATTAGAGGAAACGCATGACCTATACAAGCTCTTCGAAGACAGCCTCTGGGGTGGACCAGGATTAAATCTTTTCTGTGTGTTTCCTTCTCAGGTGCTTGTTGGAAATCCTGCGGACGTATGAGAGGGCACACAAGGTGACCTATGCCCACAGCAAGAAAATTGCTGCATTGCTCAAGCAGTCAGCCACCAGGTTCGTACCCGACACCTCGCAATTCATACATGTGGCCATGCGATGGCAGCAGAGCTCAGGTGAAGCTTTCTGTTCAAACACAGAGCAATGATATCCTAAAATGTGCATTTCCTATAGGTGGCCACAAGATGGTAACAGAGCTCGTGGCTGTATGACAGACCAATGATCCCATTTTGACTAGGCTCAAATAATATCATCAATCTGCTTCAGGCAGGAGGAAGCATTTCCTAATGCAGGCCATAGATGGGTTGAAAATCGGCCGATTTTTCGGCCGAAAATAAAATCAGCCGATTTTCGGATCGTTAGTGGGCGATTTGGAGTCGGTCGGCCGTTTTTTCGGTATTTTGGCCGTTTTTTTTTCGGTAAAGTTGGAAAAAAATCGGCCGATTTTGCCGATCGGCCGATTTTCGCGGCAATTAGTGGGCAAATCGGCCGATTTTTTACCGATAAAAAAAATCTGCGCATGAGCAGTGACCTGCAAGAGGAAGACAAAAAGAAGAAAAAGAAGAAGAGGAAGACGATGAAGAAGCGGATGAAGAAGAAGAAGAGGAAGAAGAAGAGGATGAAGAAGAAGAGGATGAGGATGAGGATGATGAAGAAGAAGAGGATGAGGATGAAGAAGAGGATGAGGATGAAGAAGAAGAAGAAGAAGAAGAAGAGGATGAGGATGAAGAAGAGGATGAGGATGAAGAAGAATAGGATGAGGATGCAGAAGAAGAAGAAGAAGAAGAAGAAGAGGGATGAGGATGATGAAGAAGAAGAGGATGAGGATGAAGAAGAGGATGAGGATGAAGAAGAAGAAGAAGAAGAGGATGAGGATGAAGAAGAGGATGATGATGAAGAAGAAGAAGAGGAAGAGGATGAGGATGAGGATGAAGAAGAAGAAGAAGAGGATGAGGATGAGGATGAAGAAGAAGAAGATGGATGAGGATGAAGAAGAAGAAGAAGAAGTAGGATGAAAATAAGAAGAATTCCAGTCCAGCAAAAAGTGTCTCTGCAGAGAGCTCCGCTATTTCTGACAGTTCTCTGACAGTTCCTTGACATTTACAGCGGTTGAAACATTGTATCTATTTGTTTCCGAATAAAAACATCTGTATCCTAAATGGAAACAAATAGATACATTGTTGCAACTTCTATAAATGTCAAGGAACTGTCAAAAGAACTGTCAAAGAAATAGCACAGCTCTCTGCAGGGACACTTTTTTGCCGGCTCTAGAAGGGTAGAAAATCGGCCGATTTTTTTTTTAACATTGATGGTAACGTCGGCCACTTGAACAACCGATTTTTTCGTTTTTTAAAAGAAAAATCTGCAGTTTTTTCTCCCCATCTATGGCCTGCATTAGTCTCCCCCCAGTGACTTTGCCTAGTCTCAGATGGTGTTATCTGTCTGCTTCAGGAAGGAGGAAGCATTTCCTCAGTCAACTCTCCCCCAGTTTTCAGACTGTACGTTGTAATTTTGTAGCAAGTCAGAAGATGAGAGGCTGCAGCAGGGGGCTGATCTATGTCAGACATTTGTGAAACACAGCAAAGAACTGCACAAGTACCCTGATGGTGTTATCTCTGAGCTGGCATCTCAGTCCAGGAAGTAGATGGTGACCCTGGATGATGCCTGAACAAAGATGGGACTGCCCTTCTGGAGGGAAACATAGATGAAGGCATTGTCAAGACAAACCTGGAAGGGTTGTACTGATACATTACTCAGCATGCTGCACCCAAAATGGTAGGACATATCTGATAACCAGGTCTACTTTAAGTCCATTGGTGTGCGCAGATTGATTGAAAACTTTTAGTGTTGAGGAGCTGTAAAGCGCAGTCACTATACACCGCTACTATGCAGGGAGCAGACACTACATATGTAATGGGCAAATCCACCTCCATATAGATCAGTTCTGACCCATTGCTCTCTCCCTGTTGGCAGCCTACAGAAGAAGGGCCACCTCTACGTTCTGGGCTGGGGGACCCTGGGAATGATGGCGATGATGGAGGCGGCGGAGTGCGTGCCGGCCTATCATGCAGGTACAGTCTTTCACTTTCCCCTCTTCTAGTCCTTCTCTGTGATCAACCAGTTCTATGTCCTAACCAATCCCCCTCCCCCAATAGAGCAGAGACATTCTTACACTTCTGCTACAGGATGGCTTATTCGGAACTAACTTTACCATGACCTGGGTTAACTTTATGGTTAGGGGTTACGGCAAGAGATAAGGTTAGATATCGGCTTGAGGAATCCAGGTTAGTGTTAGAGGTTAGGTTAGGAGATAAGGTTAGCTATCAGGTTGGGGATTCCAGGTTAGTGTTAGGGGTTAGGGTAGGAAATAAGGTTAGATATCTGCTTGAGGAATCCAGGTTAGTGTTAGGGGTTACGGCAAGAGATAAGGTTAGATATCAGCTTGAGGAATCCAGGTTAGTGTTAGAGGTTAGGTTAGGAGATAAGGTTAGCTATCAGGTTGGGGATTCCAGGTTAGTGTTAGGGTTTAGGGTAGGAAATAAGGTTAGATATCTGCTTGAGGAATCCAGGTTAATGTTAGGGGTTAGGTTAGGAGATAAGGTTGGATATCAGGGATTTAGGGGGGTTATTCCTTAGGTTAGTGTTAGGGGTTTGGAGGGTAAGAGAGAGATAAGGTTAGATATCTGCTTAAAGAATCCAGGTTAGTGTGTAGGGGTTAGGTTAGGAGATAAGGTTAGATATCGGCTTGAGGAATCCAGGTTACTGTTAGGGATTAGGGTCAGACATAAGGTTAGATATCGGGTTGGGGAATTCAGGTTAGTGTTAGGGGTTAGGGTAGGAGATAAGGTTGGATATCAGGTTAGGAATTCAGGTTAGTGTTAGGGGTTAGGGTAGGAGTTAAGGTTAGATATCGGGTTGGGAAATTCAGGTTAGTGTTAGGGGTTAGGGTAGGATATAAGGTTGGGGAATTCAGGTTAGTGTTAGTGGGAGTTACGGGTATAGTTGGAGTTAGAATTAGGGTTAGAGCTGGAGCTAGGAGGTTAGTCTAAGAGTTAAGGTTAGCATTAGCGTTAGGGAATCAAGCTATTTTAGGGTTAGAGTTTGGGGTTAAGGGTTAGAATTTGGGTCAAGGGTTAGTTTTCGGGGATTAGGATTATAGGGTTAGGGTTGGGGAGTTAGGGTCAGTTTTAGGGGATAAAAGTTATAGGGATATATTTAGGCTAGAGTTAGGGTTATAATTAGAGTTAAGGAGTTAAGTTTAAAATTAGGGTTAGGGGGCTATAACTAGGGTTTAGAGCTAGGATTAGAATTATGGTTAAGGGGTAGGGTTAGGTTAAGAGTTAGATTTAGTGTTAGGGTCAGAGTTAGGATCAAAATTAGGGTTAATAAATTAAGGTTAGGGTTAGAGTTAGGTTTAGAATTAGGATTAGGGAATTAGGGTTAGAGTTAGAATAAGGGTTAGGATTAGAGTTAGGGTTAGAATTAGGGTTGGGTGTTAGAGTTAGGGGATTAGGATTTGGAGTTTGAATTAGGGTTAGTTTTGTAGTTAGGGGTTAGGGTTGGAATTTGGTTTGGGTAGTTAATATTAGTGTTAGGGTTAGAGTTGGGAATTATGGTTAGGGAATTAGGGTCAGGTTTAGGGTTAGAATTGGAGTTAAGGATTGAGGTTGGAGTTAGGGTAAGAATTTGGGTTAGGGAGTTAGGGTTAGTTTTAGGGGATTAAGATTATACTGCTAGGATTAAAGTTAGGGTTAGAATAATGGTTAGGGAATTAGGGTTAAAATTGGGGTTAGGGGGTTATGACTAGGTTTAGAGTTAGGATTAGAATTAGGGTGAGTTAAGGTTAGGGTTAGGATTAGGGTTAGTGAGTTAAGGTTAGGGTTAGGGTTAGGATTAGAATTAGGATTAGGGAGTTAGGATGATAATAAGGGTTAAGGAGTTATGATTAGGATTAGAGTTAGGGTTAGAATTAGGGTTGGGAGTTAGGGTTTGGGTATTAGTGGATTAGCATTTGGAGTTTGAATTAAGATTAGTTTTGCGGTTAGGGGTTAGGGTTGGAGTTATGGTTGGAATTTGGTTTAGGTAGTTAATATTACTGTTAGGGTTATAGCTGGGGTGGGGGTTAGGGTTATGGTTTAGAATTAGGGTTAGAGAATTAGGGTCAGGTTTAAGTTTAGAGTTGGAGATAATGATTGGGGTTGGGGTAAGAATTCTGGTTAGAGAGTTAGGGTTAGTTTTAGAGAATTAAGGTTATAGGGTTAGGATTAGGATTGGGATTAGAGCTAGTGTTAGAATAAGGGTTAAGGAGGTAGGGTTAGGTTAAGAGTTAGGTTTAGTGTTAGGGAGTTAGGGTTAGAATTAGGGTTAGTGAGTTAGGGTTAGCTTTAGGAGATTAGGGTTATAGGGTTAGGATAAGAGTTGGGGTTAGGGGGCTATGGCTAAGGTTTAGAGCTAGGGTTAGAATTAGAGTTAGGTTAAGAGTTAGGTTTAGGGTTAGGGAGTTAAGTCTAGAATTAGGATTAGGGAGTTAGGGTTAGAATTAGGGTTAGGGAGTTAGGGTTAGCTTTAGGAGATTAGGGTTATAGGGTTAGGATTAGAGTTGGGGTTAGGGGGCTATGGCTAAGGTTTAGAGCTAGGGTTAGAATTAGGGTTAGGTTAAGAGTTAGGTTTAGGGTTAGGGAGTTAAGTCTAGAATTAGGATTAGGGAGTTAGGGTTAGAATTAGGGTTAAGGAGTTAGGATTAGAATTAGGATTAGGGTGTTAGGGTTAGTTTTAGGGGATTAGGATGGTAGGGTTAGGATTAGAGTTAGGATTATAATAATGGTTAGGGAGTTAGGGTTAGTGTTAGATTTAGGGAGTTAGGGTTAGAATTAGGGTTAGAGAGTTACGGTTAGAATTAGCGTTAGGGAGTTGGGTCTAGAATTAGGGTTAGGGAGTTACGGTTAGAATTAGGGTTAGGGAGTTAGGATTAAAGTTAGTATTATAATAATGGTTAGGAAGTTAGAGTAAGAGTTAGGTTAGGGTTAGGGTTAGTTTTAGGGGATTTAGGATGATAGGGTTAGTTTTGCGGTTAGGATTATAATAATGGTTAGGGTCAGAGTAACAGTTAGGTTAGGGTTAGAGTAAGAGTTAGGTTAGGGTTAGGTTTAGGGTTAGTTTTTGAGGATTTGGATGATAGGGTCAGGATTAGAGTTCGGGTTATAATAATGGTCAGGGAGTTAGGGTTAGAGTAAGAGTAAGGTTAGGGTTAGTTTTAGGGGATTAGGATGATAGGGTTAGTTTTGCGGTTAGGGTTAGAGTAAGAGTTAGGTTAAGATTAGTTTTTTTTGGGGATTAGGATGATAGAATCAGGATTAGAGTTCGGGTTATAATAATGGTTAGGGAGTTAGGGTTAGAGTAAGAGTTAGGTTTAGGGTTAGTTTTTGGGGATTAGGATGATAGGGTTAGGATTAGAGTTAGGATTAAGGGTTAGAGTAGAGTAAGGGTTAGAATTGAGGTTAGGGGGTTAAGGTTAGAGTTAGAGCTAGGGTTATGGAGATTGGAGCTGTTAACCCTGTGCACTCTGTGTAACACGCCCCCTGCTGCATCAGACCTACTGCTCTCCAATCAGCTACCTTTGCTCTCCTCATCAACTTTGCTGATTGGACAGATGTAGGTCTAACTCTGCAGAGTACCACACAATGGGCTCTTTTTTGATGGAACTGGGAGACCATTTATTAAAACAAAAAAAGGTGGGAAATACAGATATTACTATGAGGGGCTTTCAAGTCAAACTGGGACCTTTGAGTTTATATAATAAAATAACAAATTTCAAGGAGAGGAAAAGTGCATTTACTTTTCAACATACTCCCCTGCTACATTTATACACTTATCCCAGCATTTAACTAATGCCTGGAAAGCTTTGGCATAGAAAGATTCACCAGTACGCTTGTACATCCTAGGACAGCCTGAATGATTGTGTTCACCGTTCCCACATAAAGATTTGTCTCATGTGCAATTTCATGACAGGTTATGCATCCATTATCCAAGATCAGGCATTCCATGTGCTTAATGCTCACAGGAATGACTTTTGTGGGCTGGGAACCAGAATTGGAGCCGGAGCCGGATTGTACGGCCATCTTTGAAATGTTTACACCATTCAAATGTCTTACTGCGGCACCGTATCATGCTTGATGTCTTCTGTAGATATCCGTGGGTTTTACGCCTTCATCATCACACGCTGTTCCATGCACTCAATACCACTGTTGCCATCTTGATTATTGGTCCCTGGACTGGCCCTTGATATGTGGATAAGGGAGTACCACCAGTCCTCCTGTATGGAGCCCAGGTCAGCAGGGGGGCCCAGGCAGCTTGGTGAATCAGATGTGGGCAAGGAGGGTGGTTTCTTCTTCTCTACCTCCTGTTGGCTTTCAGCTGCTGCAGAGAAAGCCATACAGGGGATCGGTTCCAGTAATTGCCCCTGCCGCACTCATTACCTTTCCTGTGCCCCATACGTTTCCTCCTGCTGCCCAGGCCCCCCTATATGCCCCCACTCCCACAGTGCTGACGACTTTCCTCCTCTCCTTCCCACGAGCATCTGCAAGCACTCAGTAGGATCCCTCTGGATGGAGAGTAGGGGAAGGGTCTGTTAAATATTTCACATTTACCAGCACCTTCCTTTCATGAATGTACACAATGAGTGATCGGTAACAATCATTCACGGTGTTCATTCATAACTGAGACATAGTAAACTGTGGGGGGTTTTTTGGTGGTGGGGGGCTGTTAGGTTGGCTGTATGGGCCCCCTTGGTTACCAACAGGAGCCCTGGTGCAACCTATCAGTACAAGGACACACTTGCCACTTACTACTACATGTAGTACCGCCACACTAGCATCCCTTTTCATACCTATAAAATGAAATGTTCCGGTTTGACTTGAACGCCCCTCATATTTTTCTGCCTACAGTTTGGGCAAAGGGTTAAAAAAAAACCCAGAAATGGATGAATGGATTAAAAATACCTGCATCTGGGATGGCAGCAGCCAATCAGGATGAAGGACAATTTTTCATAAGGGATCTTATCGTTAAAAATACCGAAATATGGGATCCAATAGAAAGAAATATGGCAAGATTCACAGAGCCTGGGTTATTATATCCTGGTTGCTGATGGGGCCTCCCATTGACTGACCTCTCTGGGGCCCCTCAGTGAAGTAGGTCAGCAGCAGAGAAGGAAGTAGATGGTAGGGTTTTCCACCCTAAAATAACCCATTGTGGTCCAAATACCAAAGAATAATCTTGGAAATTCTCGGCATATTCTGCCCGCACTTCCTGCATTTCTTCTGGTAAAGAACATTCGGTAACTAGATAGGTATCTCTGTTTCAAGGAACATTCCACTCCCCGACCTGAAACATGCAGCTGACATCACCTCATATACAGTCTACAAAGGACTGAGACAACAAAAAACCTTCTACGTTGTTATAATGAGGTTATACTTTTTTCTTAGGCTGAGGAAACTGGGAGGAGCTTTGATGAAAATAAGACCATCTGCTACACCAAACATAAGGAATTATCGTGTCTCTGCCCTGCCCTGTTTTAAAGGGAACTTGAAGATTAGAATTCCTGATCTCACCCAGTAAGGTTAAGGCCTTTGAAGCCAGAAGATCCACATGTCAGCAAGACAATGGCAGCCCCCATTGCTCTGTCCGGTCTCCTGAGGACTCTACTGGTGAGATCTCTGAGCAGAGTTCACAGGTCTACTTTGACCATTATGAGGGCTTTCCACCAACCCTGCTGGATTTATAAAGCGTTGATAGCAGTCCTTCCCAGCTCATTAGTACCCCTGTTCACCAGATCCCCAGCTCATTAATTGCCCTGCTCAGCAGATCCCCCAGCTCATTTATTCCCTCTTTCAGCAGATCCCTAGCTCAATTGTTTCTCCACTCAGCAGATCCCCAGGTCATTATTTTCCCTGCTCAGCAGAAACCCAACTCATTAGTTACCCCACTCAGCAGATTCCAAGCTCATTAGTACCCCTGTTCAGCAGATCCCCAACTCATTAATTCCCCTGCTCAGCAGATCCCCCAGCTCATTAATTCCCCCGCTCAGCAGATCCCCCAGCTCATTAGCTCCCCCACTCAGCAAATCCCAAGCTCATTAGATCCCCCCACTCAGCAAATCCCCAGATCATTAGTTCCCCCTCTCAGCAGATTCCCAGCTCATTGGTACCCCTGTTCAGCAGATCCCCAGCTCATTAATTCCCCCATTCAGCAGATCCCTAGCTCATTAGTACCCCTGTTCAGCAGATCCCCGGCTCATTAATTCCCCCACTCAGCAGATCCCTAGCTCATTAATTCTCCCATTCAGCAGATCCCCAGCTCATAGGTTCCCCCACTCAGCAGATCCCCAGCTCATTAATTTCCCCACTCAGCAGATACCGAGCTCATTAGTACCCCTGTTCAGCAGATCCCCAGCTCATTAATTCCCCCACTCAGCAGATCCCCAACTCATTGATTCCCCCGTTCAGAAGATCCTCAGCTCATAAGTTACCCTGCTCAGCAGATCCCCAACTCATTAGTTCCCCCACTCAGCAGGTCCCCAAGCTCATTACTTCAGCTACTCAGAAGACTCCCAGCTCATTAGTAACCCTGTTTAGCAGGTCTCCAGCTCATTAGTTCCTCCCCTCAGCAGATCCTCCAGCTGATTGATTTCCCTGTTCAGCAGATCCCTAGCTCATTAGTACCCCTGTTTAGTAGATCCTCAGCTCATTAGTTCCCCCACTCAGCAGATCCCCAGCTCATTAGTATCATCATCCCTGGCTCAGCAGTACTCCCAGCTCTTCTATTCCCTCTCTCAGTAGAAACCTCCATCTCTGTTGATCCCCCACTCATTAGTAACCCCCAGCTCTGCTGATCCCCCACTTATTAGTAATCCCAAACTCTGCTAATCCCTCACTCATTAGTAACCCCCAGCTCTGCTGATCCCCTGCACAATAGTAACCCTCAAGTCTGCTGATCCCCTGCACAATAGTAACCCACAACTTTGCTGATCTCCCACTCAGTAGTAACCCCCAGCTCTGCTGATCCTCTGGTTTGCTGACCCTCCTCTCTCCCTGATTCCCACTCACCTCCCACTATATTGCTCTTATGCTGCTTACCAAGTGTGACATCTGCTAGTTTCTCCTGCTTCAGTCCCCGCTCATCTTCATTCTTCTCCATTCTGCACACAAGATGTGACGTCTGCCCTAGACACATCCAGAATATATACACATAAACTGGAAGTTACTGCTGATGACATCTTTCTGGTTCGCATGTTGGTTTCCCAGTGCATCCTGGGATATCTCACACCAGCAATACCTCCAAAACAAAGCAAAGTTAAAGCTGAATAAAAGCCTTTCAAAGGCTGTAGGTGCTGTTAGTGAGCATTGTCATAAACTTCTATGGTGGCTTTGAAGACACTTTGAAGCACCAAAAAAGCTACAAGGGGTATAATTTTTGAAGCAAAGCAAAACAAATTCAATGTGTGAACAGGACTGTAAGCTAACCATTTTATTTAGTGACAGGTGCTTAACTGGCATTCAGTGTGCTGTAAAAAAGCGTTTCCAATGCCAAATTTTGAAGCAAGTGTAAACGAGCCCTAAGTCTAACCCAAACTCGAACCCCCTAGCTCTAATGTGTCGTACACACGATTAGAATCTCGGACAAATGACCTTCCGTTTTTTTTTTTTTTTGTGCCTGCTAGTCTCATATCAAAAACGAATAAGTTACTAAAGTAACAGAAATTCTCGTAAGACAGAAAAAAAAATTCGGAAGTGATGTAATGTATTTGTATTGTATTTTTGGACAAGTGTATTGATTAAATGAAAATTGTACAATCTGGTATCGTACGAGAAAGATGTTCCTGCTTGTCCCTTCTAATAATTTCCTACGAAAGCTGTGTACTAATGATCAGATTATTGTGCAATCACTTCGGAATCGGTATTTGTCATATGATTTTCTGATCATGTGTATGGGGCATAACTCTAACCCAGGGGTGGACTGACCATTTGGAAACTCAGGCACTGCCCGAGGGCCTGGGGTCAGTAGGGGGCCCCATGAGATGCCCCTGGTACCTTTTTCATAGGCTTTTTTGAGTTTGGGCAAGGACACAGGGGCCCCATGATCCCCTATTGCCCGGGGGCCCCATGAGTTGTCAGTCCACCCCTGCTCTAACCCAATCGCTATCCTTCTAACACTAACCATAACCTCTTTACCATTACCTTTACTCGTAGGTTTAGGTATACTTTAAAGTGGAGATCAGTTGGCTTGTGTTGTGACACTGGACCTCCATCATTGGAAGAGCTGAAATCCTATGAATGAAAGGGGCAGACCAGTAACAGTCAGGGTGTGGAAAAAAGAGCTAGATGACAAAAGACATCTTCCAGCCTAAAAATGAGGTGGGCTCTACATGACTTGCTGCAGCTTCTAATGCACATTGCGAGAAGCTCACAGTGTGCAGTTAAAGCCATTGCAGTCTAGGAGAGGAAGAGATACAACAGTTCAAGACTGAAGGGAAGGCTGGAGTTCAAGGTTTCCCCATTTCCCAAAACCCATTACCATAATGTTGGTCAGTATGCTCCTCATAACCAAAAAAGTATATAAAAAAAGGGTTTAAGTTAATAGATGGTGCAGTTCCTGCACTGGGTCTCCTCATGGGCCAGGTTCTGCACTCTGATTGGATCATTGCCTGATTCTTCCTAGCAGGGATGTTGCATGTCAGTAGCTGACAATGTACCATGTGATTTTTTTTTTGCAGATTGGAGAGATGTGCGTGGATTTATAAATGGAGGATATCAAACCATGGAAAACAAGGAGGGGGACCTGACCTCTCTGGTGAGTGGTTGACAGTCACTGGTAAAAAAAAAACTTCCTGAAGTCAGACAGATGGGTACATTTTATTTATTTATGGACAATGCAAAGTTGTGTTCACCCAAAACTGTTATTTCACTCCCAGGTTGGTTCTTATAGTATGAACTCATTGTCCAATCCTTTGCATTCCATTAGTAAGATCTCCTCTTTTGTGTTCCTGGCAGCGGCGAGAGGTACTAGTAGAGGAGGACCTAAATACCATCCCACCAGCCAGCATCAGGTGGAAACTGATTACTGGGATCTGCTGGTGGACTCTGAAATTACAACGTTCCACTCTGGGAAATACAGCGCCTCTAGCAGGTGATCCAGGTTCTGACAGCTGGAGCTGGGAAGTCCAGCAAGAAGCTTGCAGACCTCCCAAGAAGATCACCTAACACTGGGTATAAGTAGAACAGCCCCCCCCCCCAAAAAAAAAAGAAAGCAATTGTCAAGTGGTTTAATTCTCCATCATCTTCCAAATGCTGTTTATCAGTTTTGGATGGACTTAGTTTGCATCTCTAAATGTTTAACTGTGATGAAAAAGGACTTTACTCTTTTATACGAACCATCACTTTACTTCCTGAGGGTCTCCCATCCTGCACACCTCCATATTGTTTTAGAGCTATGATATGTGGACTTATTGGCCAATAGCTGAGTACAGGGGATGGTCCCAAGTTCAATTTCAGGACAGAGGTCATGTGATGCATTAAAGGACCAGGGTCAGGCAGGTAAGGCAGGTGACTAGAATTTCTACAAGATCTTTGAGCAGCACAGTGGCTAAATGGTTAGCACCTCCATCTGGCAGTACTAGGGTCATTGGTTCAAATCCCAGCCATGGCACCACCTGCCTGGAGTTTGCATGTTCTCTCTTGCTTGTGCCTCCCACACTCCAAAGACATGCTGGTAAGTTAATTGGATCCTGTCTAAATTGTCCCTAGTATGTGTATGTATGAATGTGAGTTAGGGACCTTAGATTGTACACCCCTTGAGGGTTAGGGACTGATGTGAATGAACAATATATAAGTAAAGTGCTGTGTAAATTGATAAAGCTATATAAGTAACTGAAATAAACAAAGTGCTCAGTTATGGTGTTGATCATATTACTGCTGTGATGGGTACACTATAACATTTTTCTCCCCTACTTATTCCAATTCAATTGGGTTTAAAAGAGTTCTATTGATGTGAGTGGGTCCCTGAGGTTGCATGGCACAGAACACCCCCCAAATTCAATGTTTCTGTTATCCACAGGGTGCTGAATTTGCCATTTCCCATGAAGACTTTGTGAAGAGCGTCCTCCCATCCATATCTGAGACAGACACTGTCCTCTTCCTCTTTACGATTGATGGTGAGTGAATATACCATTAAAAAATCTGAATTCATGTCCTGCAGAGGATACAGCACCATTGCTCACTCCTACATTGGGCCTTGTAGAACCTGTAGAGTGGCTCTCCATGACTCAGGGACGGACTGACAACTCATGGGGCCCCCGGGCAATAGGGGATCATGGGGCCCCTGTGTCCTTGCCCAAACTCAAAAAAGCCTATGAAAAAGGTACCAGGGGCATCTAATGGGGCCACCTACTGACCCTGGGCCCCAGGCAGTGCCCGAGTTTCCAAATGGTCAGTCCGCCCCTGCCATGACTTACACAATGCAACATATGAATTATTGGAGGTAGAGTGGGATTGAGTCTTCAATGACTTGGGCATGGTACGTGCTACAATGTTACAATGCCAATTTGTGTCATTAGCTTGATATTGATGAGAGAGGATTCAATGTTGTCAGAGTCACGACAGTTTCCACACATCACAATCAGTGAAATATCTTCTTCACATAAAACCACCATTGGACCTTGTAGACCCTTTAGAGGGATTCTCCAGGACTTAACACAATGCAACATGTAGATTATTGGGGGATGGAGCCTGATCACCAACAGCTCTCCTACACCTGATAGTGGACATTGTAAATGCTGGAATACCATTATGGCTACTGACTCCAACAGTGTTTCCAACAAGGGGCCAAAATTATATTTTCACAGCGCTGCCTTATCATTAGTTTCATGGGTTGATGACAAAGGGACTCATTGTTACCAGAGCCAGAATGGTATCAACACAACATGATCATTGAAATATCTTCATCAGACACCCAACCATCATTGGACCTTGTAGTCCCTTTTGATGGGTTCTCCAGGACTTAACACAATGCAACATGTAGATTATTGGGGAGGTGGAGCTTGTTCATCAACAACTGTCCTAAGCCTGATAGTGGACATTGCAATTGCTGGGACACCATTATGGCTACTGACTCCTACAGTGTTTCCAACAAGGGGCCAAAATTATATTTTCAAAGCAATGCCTTAACATTATTTTCATGGGTTGATGATAAAGGATTCATTGTTACCAGAGCCAGAATGGTATCAACACAACATGATAATTGAAATATCTTTGTCACACACCCAACTATCATTGGACCTTGTAGTCCCTTTAGAGTGGTTCTCCATGACTTAACACAATGCAACATGTAGATTATTGGGGAGGTGGAGCTTGTTCATCAACAACTGTCCTAAGCCTGATAGTGGACATTGTAAATGCTAGCACACCATTAAGGCTACTGACTCCTACAGTGTTTCCAACAAGGGGGCCAAAATGATATTTTCAAAGCAATGCCTTATTAGTTTCATGGGTTGATGATAAAGGATTCACTGTTACCAGAGCCAGAATGGTATCAACACAACATGATCATTGAAATATCTTTGTCACACACCCAACTATCATTGGACCTTGTAGTCCCTTTAGAGTGGTTCTCCATGACTAACACAATGCAACATGTGGGTTATTGGGAGGGGGTGGGCATAGTCTTCAACAACTGTCCTAGGCCTGATAGTGGACATTTGAACATGCTGGGGCATCATTATGGCTACTGACTCCACGGTGTTTCCAACAGGGGTCCAAAGTGACATTTTTAAAGCAATGACTTATCATTATTTTATGGGATGATGATAAAGTGTTACCAGTGCTACAGAGGTATTCACACAACACAATCATTGAAATGTCTTATTTGCATACCCAACCACCATTGGACCTTGTATTCCTTTTAAGGACTTGCTATAACTGAACACAATGAAACATATGGGTTATTGGGGGTGAGGCTGGCTGTGTTTGGCTGTCCTAGGCCTGATAGTGAGCATGTTACTTGCTACAATGTTCTAATGCCACATCACCAGTTTGATGATCTGATGAAAAATGATTCAATGTTACCAGAGCCACATGGGTATCCCACAAAACAATCATGGAAACATCTTCATCACACACCCAACCAACATGGACCTGACAGTCTCTCCATACCTGAACGCAATGAAACATATGGATTATTGGATTGGGCTGGGTCTTCAGTGGCTGTCCTAAGTCTGATAGTGGACATAATACATGCTGGGGAGCAGTGTGACAGGAGTGACTTTTGGGGGTGGGGGGACTCCTGTCTCAGCTCCCCATGTTCCCATTATGTGTAAGTCACCCTATGCCTGTTAGGGGTACAGGGTGAAATGTTCTAATACTGGTATGAGGATTGTTCATTGTTCTCTGCCATGTGGCTGCATCCCATTGTTCTAGCAAACTATTATGGAATGTAATGTTTGTGTATTGGTGTGGGGGGTTGTTCATTGTTTAATGCCAGGTGGTTGTCCCATGTTCTATTATGTGTCTTGCTTAGGAGAAAACTATTATGGGATGTATGTGTTCCTGTATTGTCTACTGCCAAGTGGTGTATCCCATTGTTCTATTGTGTGTCTTGGTTTGGTGGGGGGTGTTTCCGGCAGCCCTTCCCCCTGATGGGAGGGCCTGCTGATGTGTTTCCTGTTACTGGTTGTATTGCCCCGCCCTGTGTATATATCTTGTGTTTTGTTTTAAAATAAAGCAGTTCACTTCCCGTCTTAAGAAGCCTGGTGCTGTCTCGTCCTGTATGGTCAGCGGTGGTGTCCGTGGATAATGTTCGGACACGGAAGCGGGAGTCTAGTGGAAATTCCCTAGGGCAGTCAGGGTCCGGTTCCGTTAAAAGCAGTTATAGTTACCTATTTTGAACTCCAATATTGTTTCCAATAAGGCATCAAAGTGATATCACATCACTTGTTTAAGTATTTGATTTGATAATAAAGAATTTCATTTTACCAGATGCCCAGCAGTATCCATCCATGATCATTGAAATGTCACCATGTTATATATATATATCCCTAAATAGGCAGTTTTTTTGTTTTGTTCTTTTCTCAGAGAATAGCTTCTGGTACTCCCCCCTTTTAAGTCACCCCTTGTCTCCAACCCCTACCCACCTCTGAGCACTGTACATTGGTTCCATCCCCAACCCACCTCCCTGAATTGCCCCTTTTAGAGAATACAACATCAATTATCCTGTTGTTGTGTTGAGTAGTTTGTATGGAACGTGTTAATGATAACATGAAAAGCAGTAAAATAGATCCTCTGCAGCCAGCAAACATAGATCCCCCAGCAACAATAGACCCCCCAGAAACAATAGAGCCCCTTCAAAAATTTACTTCCAAGCAACAATAGATCCTCCCAAGCAACAATAGACCCCCAGTAGCAACAGATCCCCCTGCAACAATATATCCCCCAACAACAATATAACATTTTCAATAGTATAACCCCCAGCAACAATAGAACCCCCCTTACAATATACTCCCCAACAACAATAGATTCACCCCAGCACTAAAAGACCCCCACTAGCAGAAATAGAACCCCTTCAACAATATACTCCCCAGCAACAACAGAACACCTGCAACAATATACCCTCCCCACATCAATAAATCCACCCAGCAACAATAGACCCCCGCTAGCAACAATGTAACTCCCAAAAGCCAGCATCAGTAGAACCCCCTCTCTCAACAGTAGATCTCTCCCAGAGACAATTGAAACCTCAGCAACATAAACCCTCCCAACAACATGGATCTCATACCGGCAATTCTAGATCTCCTCAGCAACAATAGATCCCCCAGCAGCCAGCACCCTCCAGCATGCCCCTGCACCCCCTGCCATTACATATTCAGTGCTCCAGGTGCCAGAAATGCGTTTTGATTGAAAAAAACCCTGCCCCTAAAAAAGGAAATTTTTGTTTTGTCAATGTGAAATCAGAGTTTTAGAATCCTATTTATCCCATATTCACCTTTTTATTAGGACTTACAAAAAATTGTTAAAAACTGTAGATCAGAGAAGACTCATCATAAACATGGTCTTGTGTATATATTAGCAATTTAATTCATAAATCACACACAGCTCTACAAACCTCATCTATACATGGGCCACCATGCATTGTATTATGGACCCGTAAAACAAAGACCACTGTGCTTGGTAAAATAAATAAATATTTGAAATCAATATATTTCACTTTGATTCTACGGCTGCCATATACTGTACAGCACATAGCCACTCCACTATTCTGTATTGCTTGAGTCGTTCACTTCGCCATGTAATGAAAATTAAATTATTCAGGTCTACAAATACAACTTGAAGAAGTTTAAGTACACTATCAACTTTATCCCACTTTGACTTGAAGTTTCATATAATATGCTCATTGTTTTCTTATATAAATCACATGGTGCTCAAGCACAAAACCTGTCAGATTGGATTCTGTAGTTCAAACAGGGTCAACAGGTAAGTATACAAAAAAAAATGTAGTCCATATCTACTCATCAAGTCTGAATTGTTTGTAAACCTGTAGAGGTAATAGGACTTGATATGTCATCTCATGGCGTGATGTTATCAGTCTGGTTACAAGGATGTGGGTAGCTACATCATCATTCTTTGTCATTGTGTTATATCCACACATTAAATTTGAATTGTTTGTAGAGATTATTGGGTTTGCTGGTGTTGTTCCACTCACGGCGTATTGTTGTGATGACAAGTGTGAGGGTAGGTACATCATCAGGGTTCTCATTTTTTTGTTGATGAGCCCATAGGACCAGCAGAATGGTTGGGGTTAGGTGCTTAGATACTTTTAGTCTTGGCTCAAGGGTAAATACAAAATTACCAAAGACAAAAGCATTGTTAAGGGTCAAATGCCAAAGGAAATAGTCAGATAATAGTAGGGGTCAGTGGCAGGTGGATCATCCAGAATGTCAGATAATAGCAAAGGTTAGTGGCAGGTGGACCATCCAGAATGTGAGATAATATCAGAGGTTAGTGGAAGGCGAAACATCCAGAATGTTAGATAATAGCAAAGGTTAGTGGCAGGTGGACCATCCAGAATGTGAGATAATAGCAGAGGTTAGTGGAAGGCTAAACATCCAGAATGTCAGATAATAGCAAAGGTTAGTGACAGGTGAACCATCCAGAATGTGAGATA